TCTTTTTTTTCTTTCTTTTTTTCTTTCTTTTTTCTTTTTTTTCTTTCTTTTTTTCTTTCTTTTTTTCTTTTTGTTCTTTCTTTCTTTTTTTTTTTTTTTTTTCTTTTTTTTCTTTTTTTTCTTTCTTTTTTCTTTTTCTTTTTCTTTTTTTTTTTTTTTTCTTTTTTCTTTTTTTTTTTTTTTTTCTTTTTTTCTTTTTCTTTTTTTTTATTTTTCTTTTTTTTTTTTTTTTTTTTTTTTTTTTTTTCTTTTTTTTTTTTTTTTTTTTTTTTTTTTTTTTTTTTTTTTTTTTTTTTTTTTTTTTTTTTTTTTTTTTCTTTTTTTTTTTTTTTTTTTTTCTTTTTTTTTTTTTTTTTTTTCTTTTTCTTTTTTTTTTTTTTTTTTTTTTTTTTTCTTTTTTTTTTTTTTTTTTTTTTTTTTTTTTTTTTTTTTTTTCCTTTTTCTTTTTTTTTTTTTTTTTTTTTTTTTTTTTTTTTTTTTCTTTTTTTTTTTTTTTTTTTTCTTTCTTTTTTTATCTTTTTCTTTTTTTTTTTTTTTTTCTTTTTTCTTTTTTTTCTTTCTTTTTTCTTTTTTTCTTTCTTTTTCTTTTTTTTCTTTATTTTTTTCTCCCCACCCCGATTTTGTCACTCACGGTAACTATATATTTTTTTTCTTTCTTACGATTTTTCTTTCGTTCTTTCTTTTTCTCATGTTTCTTTATTTCACGCATTTTATTTCATCATTCTTTTTCTATCTGACCTTTTTTCTTTCACTGTTCCTTCTTTCTTTCTCTTATAATTTTTCTTTTCTTCTTCATTTCTGAAATATGTTTCGGTTTAAATAACCCACAAACAGTTGATAAACCTAAAAAAAAAAACAAATTTCATTATAAGTTCACATTTATTCAAGATATTTCTTGCAACAGTCACAAAAACATATTCTCGACAACTTTTCTTCCGCCATAACGTAACAAATAGCAAAGACTTTTTTTGATTAACTTATGTAATAAAAATATACTTTTGGAAAATGATTACATATTTTTTAATCTATTACTCTAAATTTTTATTCACTGTGTTAGCTCTGGGGCCCAATGGAACAAAGAACCCTATTTTTCGGTTATTAAATGCAAATTAAAATATGTAATTAATAATAAAATTGATATGGTTACCTGATCATTTTGTATTTTGTATGCTTTTAAAAGAAACCCAATGAGTTTATAGCAATTTACAAGTGTAATTTAGATGTGGCACAAAGCCAAAAGTATGGACACCAAGTGAGGATCGTACACAGTCGGAATAACTCAACGTAAGCGATCATGGTTCTCCACAATTTCCTATGCTTTGTAGCTCTTAATAAATTTTGTCTTTCTGTTATTTCTCCTAAACTCTATTCCACAACCCATTTAATCAAACTCATTCTTCTTCTTTTATATGTTGTGTACCTTCAGCGTGTAGGTGATCATGGCTCTCCACAACTTCCTGTCCGTTGTAGCTCTTAATAAATTTTGTCTTTCTGTTATTTTTCTTAAACCCTGTCCTGCCATTCATTTACTCAAGCACATTCTTCTTCTTCTATGTGCTGTGTACCCTCAGAGTGTAAGTGATCATGGCTCTCTACAACTTCCTCTCCTTTGTAGCTCTTAATAAATTTTGTCTTTCTGTTAATTATCCTAACCCTGTCCTGACAGCCATTTACTTATGCTCACTACGTAGGTTATGCGTTGTTTTCCTCTGTTCCTCTTGCCTTCAATCTGTCCTGTGAGTATCAAATTTTCCTAGCCTACTTTCCTCATTATGTGCCTTAGAAAATTTAACTTCCTTTACCTGATATTGTGCATAAGTTTCCTTTTCGTTTCCATTCTTCTTCTTTATGTGCTGTGTCCCGTCATAATGTAGACGATCACGGGTCTCCACAACTTCCTGTCCCTTGTAGCTCTTAAGAAATTTTGCCTTTCTGATCTTTCCTCTAAAACTTGTTGCGCGATACATTTATTCAAGTTCACGAAGTATGTTATACGTCGTTTTCCTCTGTCCTTCTTGCTTTTAATCTGTCTTGTGAGTATTAGATTTTCCAAGCTCTCTTTCCTCGTTATGCGTCCTAGGAACATCAAGTGTCTCTTTTTAATGTTATGTTTTTTTTTCCTTTTTTTTTCTCTTTTATTTTATTTTCATTTTTTTCTTTACTTTTTTCTTTTCTATTTTTCAATTATTTTTGCCTTTTTTTCTTTTATTTTCAGATTTTTTCTTCTTCTTTTCCTTTTATCAATTCTTTTTTCTTTTCTTTTTTATTTATTTTCAGTTTTTCTTTTTTACATTTTATTTTTCAGTTCTTTTTCCTTTTTCTTTACCTTTTTCTTTTATTTTTTTTAATTTTTTTTAATTTTATTTTCAGATTTGTCCTTTCCTCTTTTTTTTTCTCTTTTTTTTCTTTTTGGGGCAGCCATTTTCCAAACGTTATGATTTCTTTTTTGTTTCCATTATCATAACAAGAACAGTATTACCATATAAAAATACTTCCTGGCTCTAAATAACCTGCAAAGTGTTGATAAGGCCCTGAAAAAAAAAAACGAATCCATAATCCCTCTAATGTTCGTCTTCATTTAAAAACTTCGTAGTTGTCGCTTAGCGTTAATCACTTCGTGAATTTAAATCGGGTGTAATTTTTCGGAATAACGTCTATTAACGATTTTTCTTTCGTCATTCGTTCATTCTTTCACATTTAAAAATCGTTAATAATGATATTAAATTGGAACACTCATCGTGTAATAGCTAACTGATTGCCCAGCCGTCATTGGATATCCAAAAGTTGTTCGTTCGATACAGGAAAAACGTACGGTAATTACTTCTCGTCATTTGAATTAGACTTTCAAACGACCGTCCATATCATATTGCTTCTTTACAGTTCACTATTTTATTTACACCTCCATTTGCATTTCCACAGATGAAACTATAGACTAGATTTCCTCGCAATCACTTGTATTCTTTGCATAACGCAACTCAATATTAAACTATAAACGCTACCCTGGATATGACGATAAACTACATCTGTGTATTGGGTATGGCTATAAATTACATCCGCGTCCTGGGTATGACAATAAACTACATCTGGGTCCTGGGTAAGACGATAAACTAAATCCGCGTCCTGGGAATGGCAATAAACAACATCTGCGTCCTGGGTATGACGATAATCCACACCCGCGTCCTGGGTATGGCGATAAACTACATCCGCGTCTTGGGTAAGACGATGATCTTCATCTGCATCCTAGGTATAGACTATAAACTACATCCATATCCTGGATAAGATGATAAACTACATCCGCCTCCTGAGTATGGCGATAAACTACATCCGCGTCCTGGGTATGGCGAAAAACAACATAGGCGTCCTGGGTAATTTCCACATTTCGATTTCTGTCATCACTGCATTTGCACAGGTGAAACTGTTAACTAAATCTGTTCCCAATCACTTGTATTCCTTATATAACGTAACTCAAAATTAATCTATAAACGCAATCCTGGGTATAACCATAGACTACATCCGCGTCCTGGGTAAGACGGTAAACTATATCCGACAGCAAGGCCTTTGATCAGGAGGTTTTGAGGAAAGTGGAACCACCTCTTAATTGCTGGTGTTCCCAGGTCGATCCTGACCCGGGGTGTTACCACTTGTCAGGCTTCCAGCTATGGGAAAATAGTTAACCCCCACAAAAGAGGTCAAAGCACTATGAAAGTGTAAAAATAGGTTTTAATACCAGCAATACCTTTTTGGAAAAATTTTTGCCAGAAATACATTTTTTTAAAAAAAATTATCATTTTTGGAACAAAAAATATTACTAAAAATATATTTTTGAAATAAAATATTACCAGCAATAGAAATCTTGTCGGCATTATTGAGGTTGATATACCACAAACCAAATGGTAATCCATTTCGGTGCTTTTCACATACAACACAATCTGTGGGAATTTTTCCTGGTTGTGTAGGTGTTTGTGCTCGGCGGTAAAATCCCTTTATCTAACCAACGACTTTATTCACTGGTGCATGTGTTCTTGAGGACATCTGTGTATGAATTTGGTCAGATCCAGTGACTAGACCCAAAGAGTTGTGAGTACAATACTAAGCCTCACCAAGTGATGAACCAAAAACATAGAGAGATGAGTTAAAGGGAAACAATTGAGACATCCGCAAGAGGCATGTCATGTGGAACTAGAAAAATTACCCCGGTGAGCGAAACAAAGGGTTTGGCTCGAAATTCCAATCACCTAAAGAAGGCCAAAGCGTACAACGGTCGAAACGTTGTGAATACGGCAATGAAGATGTGGATAACAGTCCGAATAATGTAAATAATGCAAGCAATCATAATACCTCATCTCAGAGATATAGACAGATATATAGAGAGATATAGACATAAAATCCGGAGCGTACAACGGCTGAAACGTTGTGAATATGGCAATGAAGATGAGGATAACAGTCGGAATAATGTAAATAATGTAAATAATGCCAGCAATCATAATACCTCATCTCAGAGATATAGACAGATATATAGCGAGACATCGACATGAAGGCCGGGCCGCACAACGGCCGAAAACGTTGTGAATATGGCAATGAAGATGAGGATAACAGTCGGAATAATGTAAATAATGGAAGTAATCATAATACCTCATCTCAGAGATATAGGCTGATATATAGCGAGACATCGACATGAAGGCCGGAGCGTACAACGGCCGAAAACGTTGTGAATATGGCAATGAAGATGAGGATAACAGATGATTTGTTTTTTGTCAGTTTATCAACCTTTTGCAAGCCAGAATATATTTTAGATTGTAATAATTTTTTGGAGATAATAATGATTTACTGGTAAGAGCGTATTAATTGACCCATACATAGGGGGTAGAAGAGGCAAATTTCTAACTTTCCCAAAAGTATTTGCGCGTAATGAATATAACGAACCCAACCAAAATTTGAACTCAGCTCTCCGATTAACAATTCTGACCCATTATCCATCACATCACCTGCACATTCAACCTAACAGCCCCTGTTATTCCTAAGTGGGCACCCATCTAGGTACTGACCAGGTTCGACGTTGCTTACCTTCGGTGATCGTACGGGAACTGGTGTTTAAACATGATATGGTCGTCAACCGTAATACCAGGTGTTTGTAAACTTGGATGTGCGGGTGGTGTAATAAATAATGATTCGGAATGTGAATTTGGAAAGCGATGTTCGAAATCCAGTCGGATTCATTACATTCACTCACACGCAAATATTTTTGAAAAAGGTAATGAATCCTCCTCATCTACGGATTAAATAGTAAGACGAGAATCTGAAAATCATTATTATTGAAATTGTCAATACAATATTTACTTGCAAAAAGTATTATTCTTACACTTCGGAATATAAGTTTCTACTTTAAATAACCAACTTGTTCAGTAAAATACAGAGATTTACTAAACGTAGCTTAAATGTGGCACAAGGCCCAATGTGTGGAGCACCCAGTGAAGATCGAACTCACTATTCAGTCGTAATTGTTCTAGCGAGACAAGCTTGCTAACCATTACATCACCTCGATGTGCCCAGTGATTTTCTAAGCGTGGCTTAGATGTGGCACAAGGCCGAAAGTATGGGTCACCCAGTGAGGATCGAACTCACTGCTCAGTCGTAATTGTTCTAGCGAGACATCATTACACTACGCCGGCTGTAGTGACTTATTTAGCAAAATAGACGATAGGCCAAAAGGAACGGCTTTCAGGGAGACTGGTCTTCACCTGTTCTAGGGTATTATAATTTTCATTAAACCACGACAAATCCTAACTATTTTATTATTTTATTATTATACATCTTGATTCCTTGGGGAACAAAGGGTCGCAACAACCTCTCTCCAACGGACGCGGTTCCGTGCGGTCCTCTTCAGCTCGTTCCATATCATGCCGGCTGCCTTCAACTCTGCCCTCAACAATTCTGCGCCAAATCTGTTTTGGTTGACCCACTTTTCGCTTTCTTTGTGAATTCCAGTCAGTGGCCTGCCTGGTGACACTAGAAGCAAGCTTGCGGGGTGTGTAGCCGATCTATCCCCATTTTCGTTTCTTGATGTCAATCTCGATTGGGTCATGTTTGGTCCTTTCCCACAGTTAGTCGTTAAAAATGACTTCCGGCCACTTTGATATTGAGGATGTACCTGAGACATTAGTTGGTAAATGTGTGAAGTTTGTGGGCGTTGGTCTTGGTTACAAGTCAGGTTTCTGAGCCGTAAATTAGTACACGTTGGTGTTGAAAATCATAAGAATAGGTTAGATACATCACAATAGTAGAGAGCACTTAGTGAGGTTCGAACTCATTACTCTGTCTTAATTGGTCTAGCGGGAGAGACTTGCTAGCCATTACACCAGTTCGAGGAGCCCTAGTTATTTTCTAAGCGTAACTTAAATATGGCACAAGGCCGAATATATGGAGCACCCAGTGAGTATCGAACTCACTACTCAGTTGTAATTGATATAGCGAGTCAAAATTACTAACCATTAGGTATTTACCAGCTCGCCTACCAAGCAACTAGATGTGACACAAGGTCGAGTTTTTGGAGTTTTTTTTAAGTGAGTTTATTGACAATACCGTGGAAAAATCCCCCCTCGGCACCAACATTTTTGGGGACACCTCAGGCCCCAGAATGATTTCTAAGCGTAGCTTAGATTTGGCACAAGACCGAATATATGGCGGACCAACTGCTTATCGAACTCACTCCACTGTCCTGGATAAGACGATAAACTACACCCAAGTCCTGGGTAAGATGATAAACAACGTCCAACAGCAAGGCCTCTGATCAGGAAGTTTTAAGGAGCGTGGAACGATCTCTTAATTACTGATGTTCCTAGCTCCACCCTGATTCGGGGTGGTAGCACCTGTTAGGGTCTCGGCTATGGGCAAATAATTAACCCCCAAACTGGAGTCAAAACACTATGAAAGTGCAAAAATAGATTTTAATACCAGAAATACTTTGTAAAAAATTATTACCAGCCATAAATTTCTGAAGAAAAAAAAATTACCAGCAATATATTATTACCAGAAATACATTTTAAAAAAAAAAACAAAACATATCAGAAATGCTCTTTTGAAAAAAAAAATATTACCAGTAAGAAAAATTTTGTCGGCATTAAATGACCCATTGATGTGTTGATATGCCATAAAACAACACAAAGTAAATCGAACTCACTTCTCAGTCGTAATTGAAATTTTTTTTTTTTTTTTTTTACGAAAGGTGCAATTACACCACGTGGGCAAAATTGGGATGGTGGACGCTGATCTTTACCTGTCTTATGTCGCACTTAGGTAGCTTTATTTACTGACCTAATAGTTCAAATATAGTTTCCTTCGCCAAAATATCTCTTCCACACAACACAGTCATACACATACAGAACAATGCCATATTCACTCTAAGAAATCTTACCTAATCCCCATATGTATAGTTTTTGGGAGGGGCTGGTTCGATAAAAATCTCAGAATATATCCTAAAAATGATTTTTCTAAGCGTAGCTTAGATGTAGAACAAGACCAAATGTGTGGAGCACCTAAGGAGGATCGAACTCACTGATCTAGTGGGACAAGCTTGCTAACCATTTAGTGATTTTCCAAGTGTAACTTGGATGTGGCACAAGGCCGAAAGTAAGGGGCACCCAGTGAGGATTGAACTCACTATTCAGTCGTAATTGTTCTAGTAAGACAAGCTTGCTAAACATTACACCGAACTGAGGCTCACAGTGATTTTCTAAGCGTAGCTTAGATGTGGCACAAGGCTGAAAATATAGAGCACCCAGTGAGGACTGAACTCACTATTCAGTCGTAATTGTTCTAGCGAGACAAACTTGCTAACCATTACACCACCTCGGGGTGCGCAGTTATTTTCCAAGCATAGCTTAGATGTGGCACAAGGCCGAAAGTATGGGGCATCTAGTGAGGATCGAACTCACTTTTCAGTTGTAACTGATCTAGCGAGACAAGCTTGCTAACCATTTAGTAGTGATTTTCCAAGCGTAGCTCAGATGTGGCACAAGGCCGAAAGTATGGGGTACCCAGTGAGGATAGAACTCACTACTCAGTCGTAATAGTTCTAACGAGACACACTTGCTAACCATTACACCGCCTCGAGGTGTCCTTGTTAACCATTTAACCTCGTCGAAGTACCCTACCCAGAAAAATCGATGTAAAAATCACTAATTTTGTTTAAGTGCTTTTTCATTGGTTAACATAAAATATTCAAATTAAGTGGAATATATAAAACCTTTTTTCCAGCTTGTGCGGTATGTTTGTGGCGTCGATCAAAACACCGACAATGGAACCCTACTGCCGTGTTCTTGGTGCCCTTAATGTTATGTTCGTGTTGTTATCGATATTGCTTTTCACATTTGGCTTGCTAATCCGAGAATCCTTCTATGGTCGTTCCAGTTTGTTAAGCAGCTATGTGAATGTTCCAGCCACGGTTACCATGAGTTTCGGAGGGATAATCTTCGTTATGTCCTTGGTCGGTCTCGTTGGAATCTACAAACGGAGCAAGCATATATTGTATGGCGTCACAGCGATGATCGTCTTCGTCATAGGTCTCGAAATAGGCGTCGGTGCCTCCTGTTCCGTCATGCAGGAACACGTCTTGAAGCTGATAACCCATTCACTTCGTTCGACTGAGCAAAGCTACGGACAGAGCCCCTCGGCTTCTGCAACCTGGGACTCCATTCAACGTAACATCGAGTGTTGCGGGGTTGATAGCTACAAAGAATGGTATCTACATCTTAATCACTCTGGTGTTCCTGATTCTTGTTGTATCGACTATAGTGTCGGTTGCGGTAGGGACGCCGTGAAAGAGAACAATTTATTCCTAATTAGTTGTGACGCGGCTATTCAAAACTGGGCCCATAAACACCAAATCCCTTCCATTGTTGTTTATGGCATCTTTGTAATCTTACAAGTGACCACGATAATCCTAACTCTGTATTTACAAATTTGAAAACACTTTCCAATTTATTAACGTCAATGATAGCCGGATTAACGTTTCAAACTAAAAGCATTTTTAATCTGTTTCTCGTTCGTTCAGAGAACTGTGGTTATAACGGCGTAAACTCTACAGCAGGACTTCCCGCTTTTTCTCTAGCTCCTGGTCGACTTTAAACCCAGAATTTTTGACCGTTAAAATTATTTTGGTAAAACAATTTGTTCCATAACTGGTGGTCCAGTTAAAATTATACAATTTCTGTACTATATCTGAAATTGGCTTTGGCCCACTTTTGCCACAGGTTGGGAAACTCTGCTCTAGATAATTTCATCTGGAATCTGGTCCGCCATGATTATTTTTTTCATTTGATGATTGGTCGTTTGACGTCAATGGCTGTTACATACTGTCGTTCGCCCGGCTCTAATTAAAACTATTGTCCCGAAACCTTTAACAAATTCGGGTTTTTCCGAACAACCTCTATTCAATCGGTTATAGAAGTATTAAATTGGAACATTCACCGTCTAACTGGTCGAGCAATCACCACTGCAATTGTGTTCGTCTCTAAATTGCTAAAACTTAGTAATTACTTCTCGCAGATCGATTACCCACTTCGTAAGACTGATTGCAATTGAGCGCGTTTTGGGAATCCTTAGTTTCATTAAGCATCGGTGCATTTTTCTCAAGTAATTATGGGTTGACTGTCCCTGCAAAAGAAACTCCCTACCGACTTGTCCGTGCTAGGTAAGACGATAAATTAAATCCGACTGCACGTCATAATTGCTGATGTTCCTGGTTCCACCCTGACCTGGGGTAGTAACACTTGTCAGGGCCCCCAGCTATAGGGGTCGAAACACTAGAAAAGTATAAAAATAGGTTTTAATACAATACTTTTTGGAAAAAATTACCAATATATTTTTGAAGAAAAAACTACCAGTAATACATCTTTATTTTTGGGGGTGGGGGGGAATTACCAGCAATAAGTCTTGTCGGTATTAAATCACCCATTTAGGGTGATCTGCCATAAAACAAACTTAATCAAAACGACTATCATTCTGATATATATATATATTTTTTTTTTTTTTTTTTTTTACGAAACTGTTTAATATGAAAGTGTTATAGCTTCCACTAGCTACAAATTTATCCCAATCGTGCATATTGACTGTTA